GATCCTGTTGGATACAGTCTAGAGATAGCAGCAACAGGTCCAATCTGAAACACAGCTGTTTTGACTTGAAGAATACAACCTGGGAGCAGGATTAACCTGGGAGAGTGGGGTAGAGCCGAGCAGCTGCTCTGGGAAGTTTTATCCTCCAGTCCAAACAGGAAAGATTTTCCAATTTCCAGGTTTTTCATCCTCCATCACCACAGGGTGCTATCAATATCACAGAAACATTCATTTTGTCACAGATAAAGAACAAATTTTGATCATCCCCTCAATGCCCAATTTTCCTCCAGTTGAGGGAATGGGGAAAAAAATTCCAAAAACCAAATACCACCCATCCTTCTCTAGACCATGGATGGATGGGAATATGGATTTATAAAATAGCTACCTACATCCAGTCAATAAAACTCATTTTCAGAATGATGCCCACATACACGATGAACTGTCAGGTGAGAACTGGGCAGGGGAAGGGCTCCAATACCAGCTTCTAGCTTCGTTTCATTTTCTCTTTCTAGACTCAGCTCTTAATTTGTTTCTCTTTTTACAAATGCACACATGCACAAAACCTGAACAAAATGAGGATGTCTTACAAAACATTCTGCAGAGCAAGACTACGGCAGGGGAGATGAAAGCCAGGCAGCACTCACTCCGGCTCCCGCTCTCTTGTGCGGCCAGAGCAGGGCTTTCTTCCCTTCTCACAGCGCTCTGAATTCCATACTGAGGGTCACAGCTTCCTTTTGAATTCCCAGTTTATGTCGCAATGTGTTGCCAACCTTGATGCTATTTAGATAGTTTTCTTTTAGCACGCAGACAGTGAACTGGTCTCGTTTAAACAGGCTGTTATTCGACAAGGGTGCACTCCCTCAGATCTGATGCTCTACTAACCCTGCTACGACCATATCACACTCTAATCAACCATGGTGTAAATCTGGGCAACACACCTATACAGAGTTTGCAAGACGGGGGAGGAAAAAAAAGGTGCAGAAAGACTTTAGGGTCATATAGCTCAGCATATTTAAAAGGCACAACTGTTCTCTGCACAACATCTAAGGAAGCAGAGCTCTGAATTCCACCTTGCCAACATAATTATTTTCTGTTTTAAACATTTAGCTGCATGCTGCTGTACTCTTGCTGGGTCTCGGAATGAAAGCTAGCAAACTAGGAGCCCTACTGTATGGTCTTCATTCCTAGCAATGTTCCTATGAGAAAACCTTATTAATGAGCTTGCAAACGAGCACCCAACAGGGAAATGTCACAAACAAGAGCGGCTAATGCCCCAGAAAATCAAATAACTGAACACTTGGCTGATTGTGGTGCCTTTCATATTTATAATAAAAAAGAGGAAGGGGGGCTTTAATTCACTGATTCTGGAGGGGTCAACACCTTGCTGAACAAAACAACTCATTTATTTATGTTCAGAAATCTCCAGATGATAAATTACATTGATGTTAATCACTTCAATGCATACTACACAATTAATATCTGTACTCACCAAAATTTAAGGGTTATTAAAAGTATGACAGCATACACATCTGGCTGATTTTTCACATAATTGGGCACAACAATTTCTCCTGGTACCACAAATAGAGGTACTAACAAACAAACACTACAAAATACTGGTTCAATTAATTAGGACTTGAATCCATAAGACAAAAGCAATGCCAAGCTGTAGTTCAAACCTTGTCCACTATGCTACATAGAGACACTTAGCTTAAGAGGAGAAGTACTCCACTTCTTTTCTTTTTATTTCAGCTCCTTCCTCTGTCATCCTTCAAGTCAGATATTCAATGGCATAGAGTGAAGGTTGTCATTTCATTTTCCTGAACGTCATTTGTAAAACAGGACCTAACTTGTACGGAATTCTACCATCAGTCACTTAGTCCTGCTCATGTCCTGGTTGACGTTCATTTATCTTAGAAGGGGCAGAGGGGTCATCCCACAAATCTTCATTGTCCAAAACTGGCCAAGGTGAAAGCAACCGGGGATATTTAACAATATGCAGATCTATTTGCTCTGCGCAGGTCTTATCTACTTGGGGTAGAATATAAGGACTGTGAAGGGATTCGGTAACTGTTGATCCCTGATGATAGTCTGAAGAAATCTTAGTTTACAAAGGAGAGGTCATTAAAAAAAAAGATGTATTTAGAATTTTTATATGTGAACATATAATAAATAAAATACATATTTTTACAGCTATTAATACACAGATCTGTTAAGTTAAAGCAATAAAGTGGAAAATAGGTCTTATCAATGGTTGAAGAAATTAGCAAAACTCTAATGGGTAAATGAACTCTTTATATTACAAGCAAAATGTGGTGAATGATTTTATTCCCTTCCCAGGTTTATTGCTATCAAAGGACTTTTTAGGGGTCAGTGACCCCATAAGGGTGGTAACTTCAGGGATTTGAATCAATTTAAAAATAGAGGGGGGAGAAGTGTACTGTTATTCCACGTGGGTGTCCACAAGAGTTCAGTGTCTATACAGACTGTTATTGGAGCAACTGTTCTCAGAATCCTGTCCCTTTTCTCCAGGGCATCAAGATGCCTGTCTGCAGAGACTGCAGGACTTCTAAGAAGGAATGAAGCCGAGCTGGCCCACTGGTTAACAGCTGGACTTAGGGTCTAGAGCACCTGAGCCTCAGACTCGGAGATAGGAGTCCTTTGGTATGGAAGAGCTACTGGTGTTTAAGCAGACTCAAGTTGGTTGGGAATGATGCAGAGAACCCCAACTATGTTTGAAGATATTGAAGACTTCTGGGCTGATGTCATGAGGGTCAACACAGCTCTGGGAATGGAATGATACACATTAACTGAAGAGCCAGGTGACTTTCTTAAGTTCGCAGAGCCTTAACTAAGATTACAAACCAGATCCCCAAGTCCCTTTCAGAATTACATAAAGCTCTGTAATTCTTAACCTTTTTACAAGATGTTTTTTCACCTACATATATAGTTTTTAAAAAGCATCAAGAATATATTGTTTATATAACTTAAGTTGAGGGAGGAAGAGAGTTGACTACAAAAGGCTGCCATGGTAAAGGTTTGAAATGATCAGTAGCTGCAAACTCATTTTTGAAGGTGTTGCAGTCACTTTCCTGAAGGGAGGAGCCCACAGTACTTTGTTAGATTGGAGCCAAATGGATTCGGATACGGAGTTGTATTCATTTTCTTGGAAGGACAAATCCCTCTTGAATCTATAGAAAATGAAAACAAGGCTAGGAATCATTATCACATTTTCCAGGGGTAGGAGGTGTACTCCTTGAAATATTCTGCATTTGGCAGTGAGTGTAATTTTGTAGGTGGGAGGGGCTACACTCTATTTAAAAGATACTCCGGGAAACTACTTAAAGGGTTTAGGGGTGGAAACTGGGTGGATATCCACTCAGGACTCACAAAGGAGCTAATGTATTATTAAAGCTAATGGGCCCCTACAAGGAACGTTAATGGATATTAAGTTTGCTTAAATGAATTACATATTAACAAAGTCACAAGAAATCTAGTATCTGCCAATTTAGATAATATCTGATCATTTCTGTTTTCCCATTATAGGGACATTACACCACAATAGTTTTAGTGATATGAAAATTATAAGCATGATGCTCATAATGAAGCTATATAATGAAGCAGAGGAAATGAATTAACAAGAAAAACCTGCATTCTCTAATGTAAATTGAGCCATGCTCCTATGGTAAGACGAGGTTGGGACAAGATGGTTTCTTATGAGCAAGTTCATAACTCCCCCTACATCTTGTACTACTTGGACAATTTAAACAGACAATAAGGAATGTATCAGCTAAAAAATGGCTTCCAAAGGCAAATCCAAACCCCAAGAACCTGTGAATATGGTCTAATTTGGAAAAAGAATTTCTTTATATGTAATCTTAAGTATCTCAAGATGAGACTACTCTGGATTATCTGGGTAGACGCTAAATTCAGTGACAGTGTGTCCCTATAGGGCACACAAAGAGGAAACCACACCCTGAGAGATGGCTGTGGCTATGAAGCCCTAAGCCCTTGGGGGAACGCCCAGAGTACTTGCCCTGGAAGAAGCAGGAAAGGACCTTCTCTATAGCCTCTGAAGGGAAGGTGGTCCAACTGAGACCTTGATTTTGATCCTTCGGCACCTAGAATTGTGAGTGAATTTCTGTGGTTTTAGGCCAGGTCTGTGGTGCTGTCATTTTTTTTTTCAGTGGCCCTGGGACACGAACACAAGAATTCCCAGAGCTGCTAATGTATTTCTTCCATCAGATCTCTAATCACTGCTCTCCCCCAAAACCCTTGAGAAACTGTCCACTACACATATTCCACTGTATCCTGGGACTTTCCAGAGAACAGACTATGGGAAAAGTCTTTTGAGGAAAAGTGAGAGAAGATGGCAACTTGGTCACAACCTTGGTTGGAGTATGGCTTTGGACAGAAAGAAGCATGCCCACCCCCTAACCCCCACCCTGTATCTAAAACAAAAGGATTTGGAGGAGAACCTCTTTGGTTTATAGGGAATGGTTAGGGACAGTCTCACTCACTACAGTGTGGCATTATGGATGAAGCCATCACAACATGGTGCCAGTCCAAAGAGTCTAACTTTCAACTCTTCATTCTAACTAAGGCTAAATAGAAGAGAACATGTAATTTAGAACCAAATGTTGGTATGAAGCGGGAATAAAAACATAAATATCCAGTGTCTCTGATGGATTAGAAGAGGAAGGAGAATCACTTGACTTAGTTGGCCTAGGAATGACGACAGTCAACAGTGAAAGAAGCTGATTTTAAGTCATATGCTAAAGCAGATTGGCATTATTTTAGCTTCACGTTAGAGTTAGCTATAATATCTTCACATTCTCATTGGCACTTGATAATAGAGTAGCATTTCAGCAAAATGATTCTTAGATTATCTTTCTACCAAGACAACACCATCGACACCATGTAAAATGTATATATGCTTCCAATGAACGACTTCTGAGGAGCTTTTAAGCACTGGCCTCAAAACAAGATGCTTTGCTACTCACACTGCACTTCCAGATAGCGCTGGGTCTGCAGGTTCCCAGTGACTGCAGGGTGCTCCACCTGGCAGATCACTGGGACCCCATCATCCTCCTTGTGCACCTTCAGCATCAGCTGACTGGTCACAGTGTACATGTCCGACCACTCTTCCACCTCCGATTTGCCTGCGGGAGACAACATATATCAAGCTCATCTCCCCAAGCCCAACAGTGTTATTTACCTAACATGACGGTAGTATTGTGTTGCTGGTCATGGCAATCTGTGCCTAGGGACCCCATAAAATGATTATTTCCTTAGTTTCTTTCTTTTCAGCCTTGTATAACAATACTTCAGATATATTCGAAACCTAAATAATAACATTATTTTTATTCAAATATATTATGTATATTTCTTTTATCTTCGAAATTCCTCCCAAGTCAATTGCAAATTCAACCATTTTGACATCTGGCTGCCTGTGGTGTTGGGAAGAGGAAGGAAAAAAGCTTTGCACCCCTACAACCATCTGAACTTCAAATATCTAAGGCTGTCATGCCTCTGAAAAATCCCAGGGCATCATCCAAATCCCCTAAGCAATTCAATCAGCAGCAGAGATATAAACAACCCCCTTTGCCCACCCCCATCATCAACAATTAAGAGGGAAAGTAACTAAATGGATTTACATAATTGAAATTGTAATTGAAATGTTTAAACTCAGAGACTTCTGGAAGACCACAAAAAGTGCAGTGGCAGTGGGCTAGAGCAAAGTAAGATCTAGGGCTTTGGGCCAGATGGGAGACACGTCCAAGAACACCCAGAGAAGGAGGGAGGAGGTTTCCGGAGGGAATGAATAGGCCTAGGCAGTCCCTTCCTGAACCCAGCACTCCCAGGAGCACAGCACACCATTAACTTTCTTTGAATGTTTTGTACTTATCGGTCCACATTTAATGGCTCAATTCACTTAGACAGAGGGGAAATGAGAAACTCCTTCCTTCTAAAACCATACTTAGGAAATAGGAGATTTAAACAGAACAAGCTTTTGGAAACTTGCTGCTCTCTACAGAATTCTCTGTTTCTGGATATAGATTTCCATATCACCTTTCTAAAAGGGCTATATTCTTCCTTGCACTCTTTCTTTATTTAATGAGTGCACTTACTCTGTCTCAGGCGCTTCCCTAATGCTTTGTAAATATTCACTCATTTCATCTTCATAATAATACCCTATAATTATTGTTCCTATTTCACAGGAAACTGAGGCACAGAGCTAGTATTTCTGTTATACAGAGGTGAGCTCCAGGGTCTTTTGTTCAGGTACTACTTTCAGGGCAAGCTAAAAAAGAGAGAGACAAATGCTGACAGGCATGAGAGACAGGAGAAGCAATAGAAATTGGTCAAATAGGAGCAGGGCTATAGAAACTGCCTGTAGTGTCACCCCAAAATCAGAGACTTTGCAAAAGAATGGGCTGGCAAACCAGGCAACAGAATTACAGGTTCACCAGCAAGGTAGTCCCTGTGAACTCATAATTACTTAAGCTCTCAGCCCGCAATGTCACCGCTCTAGCAGGAAAGCACATACCAACCAACAGCTGAGGCTGTGGTGTATGGCAGAATGACTTGGGATTTAAAAAAACGCGTACCGTGAAAATGTGGGCTTCTGAACCATTAAGTCACGACAGAGCAGAGGATAAAAGCAATGACACTTGAGGTACAGACAGAGACAGCCTCGGACTGCGGGATATCCCTAGCACAAGCTCCTCCTGGTATGAAGAGTTTGAGTTTACAGGTTTGGTTCCTCACCAACTCTCAAACCACAGAGGGAGGCTATGAACGAAAACAATGAAAGCTGTTCTCTTCTGGCCTCAGATGCTTTTGCTAATTGATTAGAAACCGTACCTGGATAAAGACTTTTGTTTGAGGGGCATCTGTTGATAATTTTCACAAAGGCCTACTTGCTAGAGCCGAGTGTCAGCTAACTGCTTCCTGTCTGGGCAGTCTGCACCCTACCTTTCAGTTCCTTGTTCCCTTTGAACCATCTGATGGTGGTGGCTGGCTTGCTGGCCATGGCAGTGCAGTTGACTTCAATCTCCTCCCCTTCAACGGCCGTGTCTTTCTGGATGTCGATCATCAAGTTACGTGGCGGGACTACAAATCAAACACACGTATTTTATAAACACAGGACCCGTTTCTGGACAGATTCTCCTCCTCACTGGGAACCAGCGTGGCTACTACCAACAAAGAGGCAGACAAGGGACGCTGCTGGTGGGATCACATCCTGATGGCAAAATAAACTGCCAGAGGAGGGGAAGAACTAAATAGACGATGTCATGTAAAGTGGATCGTACATAATCAGATGATTCAGAATGTCTTGTCTAAATGTATCCTATTTAGTGACCGGTCTCCAATTCCTGAATTCTCACCGACCTAAGATTAACAATCCAGGTATTAGTCATTAGAAAATGGATAAGGAAATAGGTATAAAATCAAGAGGAGTACACACTATTGAAATTAATGTCTTTACCTGGAAGCCCCTGAAAGCAATAATTTTCCTTGAACTCAACCCTTGGATTTCAATCTTCATAGGAAAGACTTCAAAGTCTACTAACAAAGATTAAAAGCTTGGGGCCCCTTAGAAGAATCACTCACCACAAACATGCACAGAAAAAGTATGCCTCAGAACCAGTTACAGTGAACTTGAACTACAGCGATTTATATGAGTGAGGACACTGTCCTCCAGTGGGTGGAGTGTCATTAAAAGAGAGGTTTGGCAATATAGGAGATGCCAGGTATGTGCAGGCATTTACCATACCCCGAATTCCAACACTCAGACTTTAGAAACCAAAGGTAAACGAGATTCCTAAGTGCTTGAAAGACACTCAGATATCAGAATTAAAACCACTTTTCTATAAGCATACTAAATATCCCTGTAATGAAATAGTCAAAACAGAAGACTTGAGGGCTGACATCCCGAACAGTGTGTGCATGACAGCAGTGATGATGATGACGGGCGTTAAATTTCTGTCTTTTAATGAAACTGAGTTGACAGCGAAACTCCCTGTCATGTGCAGTCCTACCTCAAGACTGAGCCTCCTGAAATAAAAATCAGTAAGAATACAGAATTCAGTGGCGTGAAACTAAGACTATGAGCCCTGACCACCATGAATAAGCCAAGACAGGGCTGAGACTTATGATTAATAAGTTTCTCAACTCAGAAGAGAAACAAGAAATTAAATATGTATAAACATGCCATCCTGACCATCAAGTTGAATAATACATCTCTGATACCGCTTCAATAAATTATGGGATTAAACCATGTTATTTGGGATTTCCAACTGTTCCAGTCCAATGTGAAAATTCTGTCCACAGGAAGACTTTCATACTGAATTAGAGCGATTGAAAATTCTTATAGAGAATGATGAAAGAGGAAAAACAAAATGATTTGTTGCATATGTTTCTCAGCAAGATGGTGCACTGTGGAGGCAGGGAGGGGGTAACCGCTGGAGCAGAGGCGCTGTTCTCTGTTCCCCATGTGCGAGGAAAACATCACGGTTGTTCAATTGGGTGGGTTGCTAATGTGGTATGGCCCAAAGGAGTACTTACTCATGGCAAAGAACATTTTAAAAACTTAGCAGAAGAAGACAGTATAGCATCCAGTTTAAGGGTGTGCACCTGATGGAATTTTTAGAGACACAGAAAGGCAGTGACAAAAACAAAACAAAACAAACAAACAAACAAACAAAAAACAGGGTGCTTTGGCTGGCCGTGTCCTTTTCATAGTTTGTGCGAATGATACTCAGATGGGTTGCAGATTGCCATTCTGGACATCTAGATAGCATACAGGGAATACACAGACAGTACATACTCAGAATAAGCAAATACTACTGGATGATAGGAATAGCGAAGGGGAAATGCCACTGTTGGATCAAATGTCAGTGGAAACAACTGTCTAAGCCTAAAGAAACTAAGATCTTGGTAAGTGACAGCACAAGAGAAATAAAAAAGATAATGATGAAGGAGTATAAGGCCACAGCGGGTCCTCACAAACAAACCGAGGCACAGAAAAGACAGTCTCTTGGGGTCTGGATGGAAATGAAAACAGTGAAAAAAAATAGTTCTTGAAATTGATATGCTCGATATTTCCTGATAAGAACTGTAATTACTAATATCATTGTCAAGAGAGAGCAATCGGCTAAAACTACTGACAGTGATGGGATTCCCTCTGAAATGGAGTGTTTCTCCCACCTCATGCCTCTGGGAGAAACACCTTGATGGGCATTCAGAATCTAGGATCTTTCTTAATGGGAATAGATACAGGCGTTGCTGGGACTCCACACGGATGACTAAGTCGCAGTGGAACCCGGTATCCATGCCGTCTGTTAGTCATGCTTGTGTTCTGGGCATCCTGCTCCCGCTCTCTCCTTTTTTATGGTGTGTCTGAAGGCACACCGAGACTCCTCAGCCCAGTCCTCTCATAGCCTCCATCACCTGCTCATTTCTTATCACCCACAAACTATGGCAGGACTATTTCTTTCAGAGCAGAGTTTCAAAACCTTCAGTCCCTGGTCACAGGGCTCTGTGTTTCTGGGCCCCTAGCTGGACAGAACAATAAGGGATGGAGCTTGTGGAGGATGTCATGGCAAATAGGAAGCAAGTAGAACGGACCTAGAGGGGGCCAGGGCAAGAAGTTGTAGCCCCAAGGACATGCTTCCCATGACATGTTTCTTTCAACGAGGCACTATCTTCCACTTTTTACCTCTCTCACAAGTGCTATCATGTTATAAATCAAATCCAAGGATGAATTCATTGATTAGGTCAGAGACCTCAAGATGTAATCACTTCCCCAAAGCATGCCAGCTGGTGAAAAAGCCCAGGATACATGAAGCCATAAGAGACGAGTCACATTCAAATTGTAACAATCTCCAGTGGTATCTCCTGGTGGAGAGCCTTTACTGCCTTCACTTGGTCCTAAAGATGGCATCTGATCCTCCCACATCAACAACAGTGTCTGCTAAATCAAAGCAGGGATATCCAGAAAGACGGGTGTACATAGGACAGGAAAACCCACAAATAGCACCTTTAGGCTTTGGGGTCTGACAGCTTGACAGGCATTAAGGTTTGCATCTGACGTTTCCCTTTGGGTCTTAGCTTTTTTCCATCTCCCTCTGTTGTCACAGACACACTCTATGTCCCTATTACATGCAGAGTAATCTCAGTAATCCACGACTACCTTCCTGCACTGCCGGCATCTTCTTTACCTTAAGCCAAAGGCAAAGTGTAGAAACTCCACAAGCTGGAAAATACACCCCGTGTAAAAAACAATGGACTTACATATTGCTGAGGCTGTCATTTTGAGAAATAGCTCAATGATTGTCCTCAAGCCCATAAACAGTTTTCTCAAGGTTGAGATCAGTATTGCTCCTCCTTTGCTGAGATCAGAAGAAAGAGGCAAGTGGGGTGGGAGTCGTCGGGTTACAAGTATAAGGTTTGAGGATGAGTTACATTTTGGATGCTATAAAGACACTTCTCCCAGACTCTTTCCCCTATGTAGAAACCCTTATTTGGTCTGAATCAGAAACACTCACAGGGGTCTACATTTCTTGGGACTTTTAAAAAGCAATGAAGAATTGGATAATACAAGTGAGGTGATTTAAATTTGCCTTTCTGAGAATAGAAGGTTGGAGAAGAAAAATTTCTTTTGGCCTATTAATCCTATCCCATTATTTTTTTCCTTTCACTTCATCCTGATTTCATAATGTCTACTGTAATACAAAGGAGTGAGCAAAGTCTTTAATCCATTTCTAGAAAAGTGAATGAAAACTGGTGCTAGCCAGAGAACACACGTGTGTACACGATCCACTAAACAGACACAGCTAGTAAGAACTGCCTGCAGCCATTAATAAAAACAACCACAGACCTTTCTGGGAAGGAGCATGCAGAGGAAAACCTGAATGAAAAAAAAAAATCACACAGAGAGAAGCACTAGAAAACAGCCTGGAATGTCAAGGTTCCTCTTAGCTAACCTCAAACTTATAAGAGTGCTAATTATAAACATTACGCCTACAACATTAAAAAAAATCAGCAATATCAAGATGAGTCACATTAATTACCACAAAAGAGGAGTCTTAAACCTGATCAGTATGTGAAATCTCACTCTAAGACCCTCTAAAATAATTAGGTCTCGCGTTCCTGGAGTCTGAAGAGTGAGCACTAATCTTAGGCGGACAGGACTGTAATAATATTAGCTCTATTATCAGTAACTGCATTCATCTCAGCAGTTTTGTGTCTCTTGTTCATCTCCTCTTATGAACAGAATAGAAAGAGTCCTACATTGTGTGCTGGGATAAGGCCATGAACTCGTCACAAGTGGAAGACTGAATGGCCCACAAGGCACCTGAATACACAGAAACTATCACAGGAGAGTTTTCGGGTTTTTACATAGATGAGATCTACACATAATGTAACTACAGAACAGCATAGAAACCATTAACAAACACTCATCTCTGTATCTTATAACTACGCTAAAGTTTTTGCTGAATGCATTAAATAACTAATAGTCATATCACTAAAGTGAGCATCTTCAACCTATCGAGGAGACTGACAGCTGTGTAAGTACATATGGAATCCTTTTCAGAGAGCCATGGATAGCAACGGAGATGCTAAGACATCATTCTCCATTCATTATAATATCTAAAACTCTAAACCTTAGGAGGAAGGCTTGAATGTGTACCAGTGGAAATTGTCAGATTTTGGAATATGAAAGACTCTCACACTGATGACAACAATTTTACTCTGTCAAGGAATCCTAGATAACTTCAATGGAAAGAAGATGAAATGAATGCATAATATCTGCAAAGAGAACACTGACTAGTATTACTTTCAAGTACACTTAAGTTAATGCCTCTATAAAATACAAGCAGGAACCTATTACTTCTACAATAATGAGACCTCCAAATGGATTGCAGGCAGGATGCCTCTCCCAAGTCTACATGTTGGTAGTTGACTCCAGTACACAGTTGAACTGGCCCAGCACAGTGACTTAGAATAAATACGCCAGACACGTATAACTGACAGGAAGCAGTGTCTTGCCAATGGTCCAAAAGACGTGCTTTTGAAAAATTGTGAAGTTCCAGAAAAGCCCTGAAACAGCACTTGGGCTTTAACTGAAAATGATCTGCACTACCAGACACAGCACTTGTCAGGCAGATTAGTAATGTCTGTTTGGAGTCCCTAGAGTTTAAATGCTGTGTGTGTGTGTGTGTGTGTGTGTGTGTGTGTGTGTGTGTGTGTGTGTGTGCTTGTTCCTGTCTTTATGTACAACACATACATGTATAGACTAGACCTCAGACACTGTTCCTCAGGCACAATCTACCTTGTTGTTCAAACAAGTCTCTCACTGGCGTGGGATTCTCTGGCTGGCCAGCCCCAGGGATCCATCCGCCCGCCTCTCTAATGTGTGAATTATAAGTGCATGCTATCATGTCTATATTGTGGGGAGTGAACTCAAGTCCTTTCACCAGCTAAGCTATCTCGCCAGGTCCTCAGATTATTAATTTTTATTGTATGCTTTGTAACCTTGGCAGAATGGCTTATCTCTGTTAATATTTTTTTCTATGAAATTAAAATATCAAAACCCTAAAGGTCCATGTAGTAAAAAAGCATCCTGAAAATTCAAAATGTCCCGGGTACATTCTGTCTCTTTGCCATCACTCCTGTGGAGGTGCCGCAAGTGATGGCCAGCTCAAACGTAGACGGTCACTTCCCACATGTGATTCACACATGTGTAGACAAGCAGAAATGGGAAACTTCAAATGCTTCCTGGTGAATCTAGTTCACCTGCACAATACCAAAACACTCACTCCAGCAGAATTTTCCAGGCAGATCTTGTATAGATTAAATTAGGAAGTGACAGGCATACGCGTGCAAGCTATGGACCCTTGCACACAGTCCACACTAGAAACTGTGTGGCCAGACGTTGAGTCTGACTTTCTAAAAGCACAGTCATATCAAGAATATACACAGGCTTTGGGCACATGGTTTGGCTTAATGAATTAAAAATATTTCCCCTTTTATAGCTGTGTTTAAATAAAGCAATGAGGAAGCAGCTCAATATGTACATTCATAAATACATACATGTGCACACACCCAGCCAAAATGTCCTTCATATTTATCTTTCCTCTTTAATCTTCATATCATTACACCAAAAAACTGCAGCCTGCTGGCTCCAATAGATTTTGATTCATCATCTTCCTGAAGGTGTAAATCAGAGATCCTGCCTCACTCTATGGGATTATGTCCTTGAGAATTCAGCTCCCAAACCTTGTATCAGCTCCTGTCATGTACCAGAGTGTATGTCTGTGTAAACTGCAACAAATTCAGACCCTTCAGTAGAGAAATACCTGCTGACTGCATCAAAACAAAACCGTCACCCTGACCACTGGGATCTCTGAAAATCACAACGTGGTGACCACAAATGACGATGCTCAAGTCACTGGAGGTGACCTCACAGCCTGCCAACAGTTCTCTGCTGTTTCTAGGTAAGCCAATCTCAACTGCCTATGTTTGATGGCTGCACCTGGTAGCAAGGAATGTGTTCATGGGTATGGTTTTCTGTTCCGTAGCATGAGCTGGGCTATCAGTAATAAAGAGGGCAATATATAAACAAAGCCAAAGAAAAAGGGACCAACCACATTCAAATGGGGATGTCAGTCAGAAGGAAAAATTATCACAAGGTATCTGAGCCTTGCCATGGGTGTAGATATGGGAGCCCATCTTCCCCTCTCTTGCACAGAGGCAAAAAACTTGGGGCAGTTAGAAGCAAGGTCATTTCATGTGGTGAGTGACTCATTTAAGGGCTCTAACTTCTCTTCATCTTCGATTCGAAGTCTGAGGTCTGAAACCCAAGAACAGGTGGAATCTATAAAGAAGGCCGACTGCTATTTCTTAGAGTGTTTGGTAAAACAGGCTATTTTTAAAATTCAGCAAGATGGGTGGTGATTCTCCCTAAAACAACCTGGAACAGTGAGACCCACTCTTAACCCCTTCCTTGTTACTGGAAGCCACTTGGTAGCCTGAGCCATCCCACTGGCTTCCCATGACTAACAAGCACTTCTTACCCAGGACTGTGATGGTGGTGTAACTCTCCTGTGGGGGGTCAGTGTAGAGTTGGCAGAAGTATCTCCCTTCATCCGAAATTGAGACGTTTGTCAGTGACACTTTGAGTTCACTGCTAGAAAAATTGAGCAGCTGAAACCTGCTGTCCTTCAAAGCTGTGAAACAAAACACAGTCAGTGATTGTGCAAAAGATGACAAACAATCTATTTTCTTTAGCTAGGCAAGAGAAAAAGTCAGATGCTAGAAAAACAGCAGCAGAGTGGAAATAATGTAAGTCTTTCTGTATGTGTATGGTACTATGTTACGTTTCTGCAGTAGTTACATGCAGACAAATAACCCCAGTGACCTATCCTAAAGAAACTCAGGCAGGGGCAGGCTGTGAGTGCACTGTACAACATGCCAGACTCTCTGAGGTGGGCAGCAAGGTTCAGAAACAAAAGTACTTTTAGAAAGAAAACACAAAGTAAACAAACAAACCAAATTATGAGATAAAACAAAACAAAAAAGGTAATTTCAAAGTAAAATACTGATTTTAACATGTTATAGCAGACTCTTTACTTGGATATGAATCGGGGTGGGGTAGCCTGATTCAAGGCTTTTTGAGGCCTTAGCTGGTTACATAGTTTTCTAGGTAAGTCCACCTTATGGTAGGAAATTGATCAGACACCAAACAGGAATTTGGAATTACCAAAATGCACCATATGTGGGATTATTATTTAATGCAAAAAGTCTTTTTCAATGTCTTATTAATTTTAGCAAAGGCTATCAGTGCCATATGCATGTGAAACTCAGAGGACCACTTTGTAGAGCTGGTTTCTCCTTCCACCATGTGGGTTTGGGGAAAGGAACTAAGGTGGTCAGGCTTGGTACAAGTACCTTTAGCCTCTGAGCCATGTCACTGGCCTTTCTTTAGTCCCTTCAAAGTTCCTTGTTTATCAGCTCTGTCCACAGAATGGCCCAAAATACTGGGAGTGAGCAGGAGGCAAGCCAGTGAAAACAGGCGTGACAGATACTTGCTTCACACTTAGGTGTCTTGCCAAGCTACAGCAACTATATGAGCCATTGGTGTCATATACAATTCGGTTTCAAATGCTGGCTTTTGTTAAATCGCATTTGAATGGATCTCAGCATCTGGCTATCTCTGTACAGCAGAGGCTATGGTGAAAGATCTGGTCTGTCATTACAGATATAGATTGCCTTGGAAATGCTAATCTTTAAACCAAACAGATTCCCTATCAGAATGCTATATTTTCCTTGCCTTACCCTATTTGAGTTGTTTGTGTCAGCTAAGTATTTGGGACTCGATTGCAATTCACCTTGAATTACTACAATCAATTCCTATTGCAAAGTAAGACTTTTAAAGGGGACCATTCAAGGTTTCTATTAAGTAGAAAGATTATGATTGCCTGTCTCTTCTTCTCTCTAAAGAATTGACTAAACTTTAAGCATCTAACATTAAATTAGAAAAAGGTGGCCTTGGCAATCTCTTTATCAAGACAACACATACGTAAAAAAAGTTGCCATCTACTCCTGTGGGGTGGAAACTTACGCCTAAAGTCCTTGAAGTAAATGGTCTGCCTGTTGGGGTTCAGCAGTTGAATCACGGAGTCGTCACTCTTATTGACTTGGCAGCTGATGGTTGCAACTTCTCCCTCGATCACTGTCACGTCTTTAGTAAACAGATTCTGTCCATCACCTTTAAAAAAAGGGAGAAAAAGGTCAGCTGGAACTCTCATCATTCAAAATTTAGTCAGTGAGACCCATTAAAGCAAGAAGTGAGAAACGCACCACAAAAGTAATGTCTGATACGATCCTAAATACTTTTCTTCCTGGCTCACAAAAGGAGTCATCAAGCTAAGGTGGATCTGGGTTAAAATACAAGTAAGCTTGGAATTGACATGGCTCAAAGTAAGGGGTACTGAGGTCCCAACTTCCAGTACTTTGAACTGTCAACCAGTGTGCTGAGGTGGAACCAGAAAGACCAGGGTACTGATTGCTGTGGACATTGAAGACCACCCACCTAGAAGAGGGGAGATATGGCCAAGCCTAGACCACATGCCCTTGAGCCAAGCTAAATTCAATGGTCACTTAACTGAGGGAGGAAGGCTCAATACATGACCCTGCCTAGTTAGCAGATGCTGACATTCCCAATGTACAGGCAGGTCATTTTGTCATGTGTGGGAGGGAGGACCAAACTGGCTCTTTGGGACCTTAATACAACCCAGAAGGCCTACAGTTGAGAGTCTGACTCAGCTCTCAAAAACATACCTTGATAACTCACCCAAAGCCTTAGGCAGCTCTGAGCTCACCACCCTCCCTGCAGATAACCCCTTCAGCCACTAAAAGATTTTCAGAACATGTCAAAATGTGAGCGCTCTCAGATCCACTGATACAAAGCTTATCTCCAGATCTGTGCTAGTTTGCAGCATCAAGATTTGTTCCAGGAGCAGAGCATCTCCTAAATGTGTGAAAAGATCCACAGCACAAGGCGGAAGTTCAATTTAGACGCAGAAGATAAGGAATTGTGAAGTGTTCGATTCTGTGGTTGGCCTAACAGGAGACAGAGAAGTCCCGGACACTGCCTTAGCCTTTAAGGAGCTGAGATGTACATAAAACAGGCATCTAATGTCTACTTCCCCCACAAAAAGGGTGTGTGCAGGCAGCAGATGTGACAGTCAGTCCAGAAGGGTGAAGACAGACCTCTCTTACATCAGTTTCCCATCTACAAAATGGGGCAGTAATTAAAAGCTATCCCACAGAGTTGTTATAAACACAAAGCAGTTCGCACCAAGTCCAGCTTCTCTGACTAAACAGATGGTAACTGCTACATGATCATCACTACTACCATCACCATCACATCATCATCACCATCCCACCACCACCCCATCACCACCACCCCATCACCCTGGTCATTTCTCTAGACCAGAAATCCCCACATTTAGGAAGCCATTATCACATGTGGGAGTAGAGAACGCAAGAATGCAGGCTTAGGGTCCCTGCTCTGCAGGAGCTCTCTTTATCAGCTTAGGGTGTCTTCTTCACTCCTTGAAGAAATGTTGTCACATCAAGAAGCAAAGGTCAAAGATAAATGCTACTTTAAAGAATAAAAAAAAATCGAGGCAGCACAAACAGAGGTACAATTAGAATAAGTGGAGGATTTCCACCTGCTATCACATTTCTTCTGAAGGATCCTTTCTTGGCAGGACACAGTGGGTAAGTGTGATGGGGTGTCTAAAATGGCTTAAAGCCAAATCCACCTAGAAATAGACCAGCCCCTGGCAGAGGATTAGAAGAGGGGAAACTAGAAGAATAAGGGGGTGGGGATCATAAGAGCTGCAGATAAACAAAATGCCTGGTGCTTGTAGAGCAAACCCAAATGAAACTTGACCTTGAGCTCCATGACCCCTGAAAGTAGCCCTGCTGTGAGGACACAGGTCTATGTGGCTGGAAGGAGTGAGACTGAACCTGGGAAGCTGGGAGGGAGGGGTGTGGGGGGGTGAATGCTGTTACAGAGTAACAGCAGAGTGGAGGCCTGGGAAAGCTGGGGGGGAGATACTGTCACAGAGTAACAATGGAGTGGAGGCCTGGGAAAGCTGGGGGGGGGGATACTGTCACAGAGTAACAACGGAGTGGAGGCCTGGGAAAGCTGGGGGGGGGATACTGTCACAGAGTAACAACGGAGTGGAGGCCTGGGAAAGCTGGGGGGTGGATATTGTCACAGAGTAACAACAGAGTGGAGGGCTGGGAAAGCTGGAGGGGGGGGAATACTGTTACAGAGTAACAGCAGAGTGGAGTCCTGACTGGGGAAGCTGGGGGGGGGGGGGGGGATACTGTTACAGAGTAACAGCAGAGAGAAGGACTGGGAAGCTGGGGGGGGAATAGTGTTACAGAGTAACAATGGAGTGGAGGACTGGGAAGCTGGGGGGGGGGGAATAGTGTTACAGAGTAACAATGGAGTGGGGGTGATCAGAAAAAACAACTGAGGGGGTGTCTATTGTTTTCCTCCTGTGGATTACTTAACAAACACAGAAGTCAGACCCCAGCAGGAAGGAATGGGTTATTTCCAGATATGAGCAAAGACCAAGGTGACAGGAATTCCTGCCAATCAGGCCAGCTTTTCAAGGTGGACTTGCTGGCCCTGGATAAGTGTGAACAGAAAGCAGGACACTGGACACCGTATGTTTGCAGGGTAACTTAGTCAGGTAAGGAAATTAAGGAAAAATTACACTGTGATGGGAGAGTAAAACCATGTTAAAGCCATGGGGTTTGCATTGAGGGGACCAGAATATCAAACAGGCTCTTCTTGGGGCAGGAAGGGATTGCTTCTATCTGTAGGGAATGAATTAGTAACACAAACAAGTCTTCAACCGGTATAAGGTACATGTGCAGAGGCTGCTTGCTGACAGGCATCAGTCCCTTTGGATACCAACTACTACTCTGCAGCTCCTGAGACTTAAAGCTACTGCTAATTCAGTCCTGACAGTTTCTGTGGAAGTACTAGTGGCTTTAATTTTAGTTCTTCATGGAAGTTCTATGGCCAGTATATCCTGAGAGGAGGCTACTATATTTATAGCAGACTTTATGTAGGGGGTTGGGAACCAAGAGGAGTGAAGCATGGTTTTGCATTTTTAAGAACGAAGGTAGTGACAACATCAAGTCAAAGTTGTTGTTTTTGTTTTGTTTTGTTTTTTTATAACACAATCTACATGTTCCTGATTATTACTTAAAATGAGGTACTATACGATCAGTCCATTTACCAACCAAGTCACTCAGGTAAACTTTTTGCCTTGGCTTGCTGCTCTGCAAACCCATGGTGATGTCAACATCATGGAGTTACTATTTTTTAATTATTAAGACCAAAATCCAGTGCCTCAGGAAAAAATGCCAACTTCTAGCTATGCTATAATAAGGTTGTCGTATCAATATGGAAAATTATATGCTAATGAAATATTTGGCTGAAAGACATCAAAGTGCTTTGGCTGATGGTGGTGGCCCAAGGATGTCATTCTTTAAAAAAAAAAAAAAAAATCACCAATAAATTATACAGGTCAGCTGGATGGCAGTTATATTAAATAGAGCCCCATACGTTGAGGCACCATGGATGGCCGCAATGGGATAATAATGGCCTATTTATTTGAGGCAAAGGACTTGAATGACAGTGAGGAAAATATAGTACGTATGTCAGTACCTTACTGCCTGAAGCCTTTATGTAAAAATGATTTCTGCTCACATCCTCAAATATGTCTTCCAAAAGGAAGAGTACACACTACGACTTGATAAATTTCCCCCTTGAAATGAATGTTGAGACAATTAGGTTGTCACAAAATGCAATCTCATGTGTAGCAGGAGCGAAACACGAAACTTTGGTATCTTCCTTAAAGAATGCATTTAAAAACCCTTCAGAGTTTTCTAAAACTCAATTAGCTGACATACTGTCAAGGCAGGAACAGTACATGTTCAGGGGAAAAGAAATCAAATAGGTACAATATCCAGCCATTAAATGAAGCTGTTAACAGCCAGGTAATTTATTTTAAGGGTGGAGCAATGGCTGGCATGTGTAGACATTTCCAACTGCTAATTGGTGCATTTGGATGAAGTTTGGGAGACAGAATCAAACTGAATTTTAATTTATACCAGAAGTTGTTGTATCATAGGGGTGCTTCCTATAACTTTCAGATTTCTTTTGCTGTCTATTTTTCTTCACACACGTCCATTTATTCTTCCTGTGTGCATGTGGACGTCAGAGGATGACTTGCTGGAGTCAGTCATTTCCTTCCATCAAGTGAGTTCCCGGGCTCAGAGTCCTCAGGCTTGGTGGTAGGTGCCTCATCATGATAGCCCTATAGTTCACTCTTCCAGAAAGAGTCTTGCTGTGTCCCCTTGAATGGTCTACTCCTGGCTATGTAGCACAGGCTACTCACACATTTATAGCAATTTTCCTTCTTCATACTTAAGTGTGCTGGGATTACAGACATGCCCTACCACACCTGGCTAACTTTCAGAGTTGCTCTGTAATTCCTAAAAACAAAGACCTAAATTAAAGAGAGCCTTTCATTCAGGAGCAAGCATCCTCCATTAAACCAGACACTTCTTGGACAGTTACAATGACAAGAAAGCTTATTGTCTACAAAAGAAAAAACTACCTTTGATGACTACCAGTGACCCTTACGGCATCTTGATAGGACTGGTGTTGGGACATAAGTTCCTTATTAGCACTTTTTAACTAATATAAATGCTCAGAGACTCTTTCTAAAACATCATTTTGTTAAATACTCCCTTTAGGTGGCATTGCATAAAATGCTAGACTCCATCCCTGTCCATTTAATCAGCAGTATGTCCATACAGAAGTGACAAGTGACAGGATCTCAAAGCCAGAGGTGGAAGTGAGAAACAGGAAAAGAACTAAGGTGTCCCCAGTGCTGGACAGGGCACTGGCTGCATTCCCCTTCCCAGTCTTCTGGGGTTTTCAGTACTTCTGTCGTGAAGATTCAACTCCAGAGTCTGATTTGAGGAAGTTGCCTGGCATGATTCAGCTAAGTGGCTGAGCTAAGGGGTGGTAGAACCTTGTTCTGGAAGACAACTCTCTTCCCCTGGCCCTGCTTACCAGCCAACATCTCAGGACTGGTTGCTAAGGTCCTTCTGGTTCTGCCTTGGAAATATTGCTTGTTTTTAAGGAGGGTTATTTCCTTATGAGAA